GAAGAAATGGCTTCTTTCATAAAAGTATGTCTTATGTCCATATAGCACAGAACAAGTAGAGCATTCTGCTATGCTGCCCAGAAAACACTCCTAATCAGAACCACAAAAGGGCTGCTTTTATGATCTCTTCACAGAAATCATGGCCTTTACAGTGAGGACATACAGCAACAGCTACAATACACTTCAGCTGCTGTGGTAAGGATTTTTATAGCACGGTTAGCTGCTAAGTGGGCTCAACATTAAGGCAACCAATTCTGTTTACATGAGCAGAGCAGAGCCCTCAGATGGCAATAACTTCCAGACATTTCTACACTGGACCATTAACCTAAAAACTGGTAATTTAGTATCAGTTTCCATTCCTTTAAACTACAAAAATATTATCAGACTTTCAAAAATATTTTCTAGCTATAGTTTAAAACAGTATTTTGGATCATATTGCCAAAACAGAAAAGCTAATACCAACCAACTATTCTAGTCTCTGGAAATCTCCCAAGCTTCTTCTTTATAAATATTTGCAAGTTAGAATAGCAGTAACTCAAAACCATTCAGGGGCACAAAATGTTAGTGAAAAACCTGTACTACCTATGCCTTCTAATAATTTTTTACAATGTGTAAATTCCTCATTCTCTCACATTTGGTGAAATTATTCCTCATGTTTGTGTGTGTGCGTGTGTTACATACCTAAACCCTCCAAGCAGCGTCTAGTAGGCTGGCACCTACAGCAAGATGCTATCAAGTCAGAATGGGAAAATGGTAGGATCAGAAATTAGCCACATGACCATTAAACCAGGAAGTTACAACTTTTATTTAATACTAAATACATATTCTCTGCATTCTTTTCTATCTCTAAAATTGATATAATATTTTCCTATGTATCACCAAAACACAGGTTATTGAGATGCCTCACTAATCAGATAATCATAAAAACTAACTTATTAATATATATCAGTTGAGCTCCTATTACATGCTTGGCCCACATAAATATTTTTAAAATAAAACATAAAATTAAATAAAAGTCAGCAAAGTATAAGGTATAATAAATATTTTTTAATGCATAAAAATGAATTTGCCAAAGTGGTAAGAAGTTTATAAACTATTAGAGATTAAAATTAAAGTGCAGTAAAAGTAGGTACAAATAATTGAACAATTTTATTTGTAGTAATTATAACATGGCAAAAATTAACACTCTAAACTCTGGCTTATACAGACATCAAGGAAAATTTTTAAAAATTCTTAGTAAAGCAGAAGTAAATTCATCTCTTTCACCATTTTATTTATAAAGCATACTATAGGCTAGCTTATAATGCTCAACTGTGAAACATTATAAATGCTCCAATTAATGGAAGTATTAGACACATTAAATTCATGAACAAGACAAGATGTTCTCTGTAATCACAATGCTCTAGAAGTTTTAGCCAATGCAGCTGGTAAGTGAACCAATGCAAGATATAAAATCTGGAGAAGATAAATTAAAATCATGTTTAGTTACAAACAAGGACTGCATTTGATGAAAAGTTAACTGAATCAACTTTAAGTCTATTAGAAATACTAAGTTATTTAGTTTATTAGTTGATTAAACTTAACAAAGAGCAAAAACCTTCCTAATGTTAACAGTAAGCAGATGAGTTTAAAGCAGTAGAGAACACTGAAAAAGCAGTACAGCGGTGGTTAAGGGCACAGACCTCAGAGCCAAACAAATATGGATCAGAATCTCAACTTTACTACATCCAGCTGCTCAAAGCCACCTAATGTCTCTAAATTTTCTACAGTATAAAGATGAATATACTTTGTTAAATAGGGTAATGTTGGAAAAAATAAAGAGCCCAGCATTTAGCAGTCAACTAATGTTAGGCATTATAATTTGTATTATTTGTAAAAGCCACTTGTCCCTTACGTAAGTAAAAAGAGATTATTACATTAAAGTATAAGTATATATTAACCTTTCTAAAATACAAAGGTTTCTGAAGTTCCAAAACATATCTGGCCCCAAGATTCTGAAAAAAGGACTGTGGTCCTTATCTTTCTAATGCTTACTTTCAGAAAAAATGATTACTAATAATTTATGTAATTTTTTTAAAAGTCAACCAGATTTCAGGTTCCCCACAACCATTTGCTTTACAGTTCTAGAAAAGCGAAGGTTGGTGCTGGAGTCTCCACCTTCGAGCTAATCACTATACATGATAGATGCTCCTTTTCTCCTAGACCCATAACCTCAGTTAACAAGAGCTTATTCACAAGTAGAATTACTCATGCATGTAATGTCACAGGCTCTTCCGTTAATAATAAGCTCTACTCACAATGACATGACTGTGTTTACCACCTTAACTCTTGTAGTTAATACTTAAAATTCTTGAATAAATGAATGAATGGACTGCATTATCTACCAGTCTGCACAATCTGTCAGAGACGTACTTGCTCAATTCACAATTCAAGTTTTAGTAAGTCCCTTGAATTATCATTATAGAGTGCAGAATGGGTTATGGCAAGGATATATCAGGGTGTTTTCACAGACATGTAACATACAATCCAAAACCAACTGGATTAAATAAGAAATTTTACTGGTGCACATAACTGAAACATCTAGTGGTATACTATCTTCAGCAAAGACTTGATCCAGCAGCTCAATGAGGTGACCACAGCGTGGTTTTTCTCTGCTCTACTCTTTCAGTTTTGGCTTCTTATTCAACTGACTTTCCTTTGATGGTTGGAATATAGCAGCTGTAAGTTTAATGACTGTATATTTTCAGGCTGAAGTTCAGCAGAAAAACGTAAGTGCCTTTATCCCAGGATTCCTAGCAAGGTCCTAAGACCATTCTGACTGAATGGTTTTGATCCCATGCCTGCTATGGGTTAAGACATGGGTTTCCTAGGTTAGACGTATGGGTTAATGGAACATGGGTTAAGACATACGTTTCCTAGGTTAGACGTATGTTAATGGAACATATGTCTTAAAAGTCTTAAAAGTTTCTAAGTTTTTCCTATAAATTTGTCTTAAAAGTTTGTACGTTCTGCCTATAAACTTTTCATAAGGTGACCTTAGTGATTTCAACTTATGTTACTAAATAACTTCACATTACTGAATTAAAATTGATGGGTCAAGCACATCATACAACTTTCCCTATCTCCTTAAAAAGTTATTCCACCAGATTTTAATAACAACCCATGAACAAGGAAAAAGTAATTGTTTCCTCAGTGAAAATGACTTTTTGAAGGATTCATAATGTTTTACTAGATTACAACATAGATTTCTGATTTTCCTTCTTAACATAACTGACAGCAACACCATAAATTTTCAGGAAGAAAAGGAGGTTCTTAACCCACTTTTTCAAGACAGTAACAGCATAATTTAAAGACAGAAGAGTACATGGATATCTTCAGTTAGGCCAAGAAGAAAACAAGTGATTTTGTTTCTCAGAGCTTTAAAGTAGAAACAACTAAATAATCCATTTTGTGACTCAACGACTCCTACTAGACACTAGATTCATCACGAAACCTCCCCCCACCACACACACAACTAGGTCCTGAGAACAGAGATGCATGCTTTAGAGAGCCTTTTAGTGAGTGCATTCCAAAACCAAATACAAATTACTCCTGAATTTATGCTTCTTAATATCCATGTCCCTCATTCCTGTAACTAGCACAGAAAACGGAAAGGAAACTATTCTGTTTTTAACAGAATAAAGCAAAATTTATCAGACTGAAAACCAATACTCAAATATATAGGAGAGGAGCTGATTTTGATGGTAAAGTTGAACCAAAACAAAAGGCAAAGTCCAAGCAACATTTTTAAAAGTAGAACCAACCACCTGAAAATGTGTTGCACACTAATCATTTTAAAAGTCAAATTTCATTCACAATCTTAGAGGGTAGCAGTGTGGTTAAAGGATGTGAATTAAAAGAAAATTTCTAGAATTATTTCAATCCTGTAGATTGGCTTTTCAAATATTCTATTGTTCAAAGAATTCTGTTCAGTAAATACACAATGAGGGCTTTAATAAGATGATGACACTAGTGTTAGACACAGAAGGGATATAAACATAGCCCCTGACTTCACAAAGTTCATAATACATTACAAAGGCAGCATGTACAAACAAACATTACTAGACAGCACAGAACATAATCAAGGGGAAACACAAGAGACGCTAAGACTGGTTAATCAAAAAGGAGAGAAATTAAATGTATCAAGATGATTTCTGCAGCAGGTAACAAAATCTATGGGTAAAATGGCTTACACAATACAGAAATGAATTATTCCACATCAATACTCTGCAGCTGGGGTGGTTCTAGGCATAGTAAATTGGCTCCATTTCTTCTGCTCTACAATTCTCTTGCCTCTGCCCTCGTTTACATAAAGGCATCACATTCAGGCTAGTGGCCAGATGGCTGCAGCAGTTCTGGATGTCACATCCAGGTAAAACAAGGTCTAGGGAGAAGAGGGACCTTTTCTTTTTTTCTTCTCAAAAGCAAGAAAACCTTTCCCAGAAGCCTCTTGCAGACATCCCTTTTATTTCCCACTGGCAAAACAGGATCTATTCCTAAAACAATCATCTCTAAAGGCAATGAGACCTACCACAACCAAGACAAGAATGGATGCTGGTAATTATCATGACCATCACTTTGGTGTTGGCTGAGTATTTCAAGGAAGACAAGCCCTAGAGGATGGTATGATTTGTCTGAGGAAGAAATAAAAATGAAAAACACATAGGCAAAGGAAAGGATGTGCCCAACTGAAGAAGAAAGTCAAACTGCAATCAAACATTAAACACACTGTTAAAAGGAATTTTCTGCACTGTTGTCATTCTCTGTAATTCAAAAATTAACTTAATATCAACAGTCAGTAGATGCAAAAAATGTAGGGGGAGTAGTCCTCTTTTTAGGAAAGGGTTAGGTTAATTATTAGTGGAGACAGTCAGACTCACCACTCCTTGTCAACAGTCATCCACTCAGCTATCTCTGGGTTGAGAACATCCCATATTATGCACAGATGACCACAGACTCACTTGTCAATAGAAGTTGTCCTTTGCTGGTATCTTCTCATTTGGGTTCCAGGTTTCACTCAAAAAATCCACACACTCACAACTGGCCCTATTTGCAAATGAAAGCATGCAATTAGGAGGAGGCAAAAAGCTGCAGGGAGCAATTCTCCCCGCCCCCCATCCATAATTAACTGATCCTTGGGAAAACTAACTTAAACACCATGTTCAAACTAAGCAACCTTCATTCGAAAAGTTGTATTGTGTTTATGATAAGATTACCACCCTTTTCCCATCATATAAATTTATTGTAGTGTCCACAGTATACCAGGTTCAACTCACACCAAAGGTCATCCACTGGGCAGAATATCACAAACACACACACATATGTTTGGCAGACCCACACAAGGCAGGCCTACACAGTGTGTTAAAGAATAGTTGCTTATGTTTACAAATCAGAAGACTTAAATGTCAAGATTTCTGATCTCTTGAAAAATAAAGAAATTAGATCTAGCTATTCCCACATTCCCACATGGTAGGAACCTGTTAGTGCTTATTAGCAGTTAATCTTTCAACTGTGCCCTAGCCTTTCAATCCTCCACAGATGTCATCACCCCCTTATATTATAACCTGATTCACAGTTATCTGTCTGGATCCTGTCCATATCTGAGCTCACCAACTCTACTATACACTTGTACTAGCTCATAGAGAACACATAGTAATGTCAAAGGTAAGCATGTTTTACTGCTCTGAAGATACAATATAGCATAAGGATATACTGATTTATGAAATAAATGTTCAAAGGTAAAAAAACATTTTAAAAATTATTTTTCTAGTGCCATCAGAAAATATGAAATAGTTAATAATAAATTATAAAATGAGATTAAAGATGGCGGCATGAGAGGTGAGACAGAGACCTACTCCTAGAACCACATATAATACAAAAATATAATTAATACAACTAACATTGAAAGAGGAACAGGAAAGAAGGCTACCCCAGTCTGCATAAACCTGGAGGAAAGAACAGACCTCACAAAACAGAGCACTCCATTCCCCCTGGCTGGCTACACAGCTCCAATGCTCCCCACCATGATACGCAGATTGCCGCGCCTTCCTCCTGGCCAGCCCACACCAGACCTGCAAACTGGGAAACCCTGCCCTAGCATCAGGCCAGTCAGAGAGAAGCACTGCCTACAGCAGCTACAAACACAAAGCATAGAGGCTTACACCTGTGATTTGGACCACTGGTTCTGGCAGTGGAGACCGGCATAGCAGCCAGGAAGCAGGAAACAACTCTATTCTCCCCCCAGGGACCAGCACCACTCCCCTGAAACCCCTGACATAGCCCCAGGGGCTGAGCAGCTCCAATGCAGAGCTTCTGGGCACTAGAGGACACCACAGACAAATTATGAAACATCAAAGGAACTTGGTTCAAAGCAAAATTATGAATACACCTGAGAAAGATTCAAATGAAATCGACCTCATGAATCTTCCTGAAAGAGATTTCAAAATAGAAATCATTAATATGCTCTTGGAGGTACAGAAAAATACTCAAGAGCTCAGGAATGAATTCTGGTCGGAGATCCAAATGTTGAAGAAACAATGGAGAGTATTAAAAGCAGAACAGATACGGTAGAGGAGACAATAAATGAAATAGAAATTAGGGAAGAGGAATACAAAGAAGCTGAGGCACAGAAAGAAAAAAGGGTCTTTAAGAATGAAAGAATACTGAGAGAAGTCTGTGACCAATCCAAATGGAACAATATTCATATTATAGGGGTACCAGAAGAAGAACAGAGAGAGAAAGGGATAGAAAGTATCTTTGAGGAGGTAACTGCTGAAAATTTCCCCAATCTGGGGAAGGAAATAGTCTCTCAGGCCATGGAGATGCACATATCTCCCAACACAAGGGACCCAAGGAGGACAACACCAAGACATATAATAATTAAAATGGCAAAGATCAGGGATAAGGACAGACTATTAAAAGCAGCCAGAGAGAGAAATAAGATCACATACAAAGGAAATCCCATCAGGCTATCATCAGACTTCTCAGCAGAAATGTTACAGGCCAGAAGGGAGTGGCATGATGTATTTAATGCAATGAAGCAGAAGGGCTTCCAATCAAGAGTACTTTATCTGACAAGATTATCATTTAAATTTAAAGGAGGGATTAAACAATTTCCAGATAAGCAAAAGCTGAGAGAATTTAGCTCCCATAAACCATCTCTACAGTGTATTTTGGAGAGACTGTTATAGATGGAAGTGTTCCTAAGGTTAAATAGCTGTCACCAGAGGTAATAAAAAGGGATAGACAAAGAGTACAGACTATGATACCTAATATGTAAAGAATGGAGGAGGAAGAAAAGAAGGGAGAAAAAAAAAGAATCTTTAGATTCTGCTGGTAATAGCATATTAAGTAAGCTAAGTTAGATTCTTAGATAGTAAGGAAGTTAACCTTGAACCTTTGGTAACCACAAATCTAAAGCCTGCAATGGCAAAAAGTACATACCTATCGATAATCACCCTAAACGTAAATAGTCTGAATGCACCAATCAAAAGACACAGAGTCACTGAATGGATAAAAAAACAAGACCCATCTATATGCTGCCTACAAGAGACTCACTTCAAACCCAAAGACATACACAGACTAAAAGTAAAGGGATGTAAAAAAATATTTCATGCAACTAATAGGGACAAAAAAGCAGGTGTTCCAGTACTTGTATCAGACAAAATACTTTAAAACAAAGAAAGTCACAAGAGACAAAGAAGGACATTACATAATGATAAAGGGATCAATCCAACAAGAGGATATAACCATTATTAACATCTATGCACCCAAAACAGGAACAGCTACATATGTGGAACAAATACTAACAGAATTAAAAGGGGAAATAGAATGCAATGCATTCATTCCAGGAGACTTCAACACTCCACTCACTCCAAAGGAAAGGTCAACCAGACAGAAAATAAAAAAGACAGAGGCACTGAACAACACATTAGAACAGATGGACCTAACAGACATCCAAAGAAGTCTCTACCCAAAAGCAGCAGGATACACATTCTTCTCAAGTGCACATGGAACATTTTCAAGAATAGATCATACACTAGGCCACAGAAAGAGCCCCAGTAAATTAAAAAAGACTGAAATTATACCAACCAGCTTCTCAGACCACAAAGTTATGAAACTACAAATAAATTATGCAAAGAAAACGAAAAGCCTACAAACACATGGAGGCTTAACAACATGCTTCTAAATAATCAGTGGATCAATACCAAATAAAAACAGAGATCAAGCAATATATGGAGACAAATGACAAAAATAATTCAACACCGCAAAAATCTGTGGGACACAGCAAAGGCCATGCTAAGAGGGAAGTATATATTGCAATACAGGCCTACCTCAAGAAAAAAGAACAATCCCATATGAACAGTCTAAACTCACAATTAATGAAACTAGAAAAAGAACAAATGAGGCCTAAAGTCAGTGGAAGGAGGGACATAATAAAGATTAGAGCAGAAATAAATAAAATAGAGAAGAATAAAACAATGGAAAGAATCAATCAAAGCAGGTGCTGGTTCTTCGAGATAATAAACAAAATAGATGAACCCCTAGCCAGACTTACCAAGAAAAAAAGAGAGTCTACACACACAAACAGAATCAAAAATGAGAAAGGAAAATCACTACAGACACCATAGAAATACAAAGAATTATTAGAGAATACTATGAAAAATTATATGCTAACAAACTGGATAACCTAGGAGAAATGAACAACTTTGTAGAAAAATACAACCTTCCAAGGCTGACCAAAGAAGAAACAGAAAATCTGAACAGACCAATTACTAGCAATGAAATTGAACTGATAATTAAAAAACTAAGAACAAAATCCCTGGACCAGTGGCTTCACCACTGAATTTTATCAAAGATTTAGTGAAGACCTAATACCCATTCTCCTTAATGTTTTCCAAAAAATGGAGGGGGGAATACTTCCAAAATCATTCTATGAGGCCAGCATCACCTTAATATGAAAACCAGGCAAACACATGACAAAAAAAGAAAATTACAGACCAATATCCCTGATGAACATAGATGCAAAAATACTCAACAAAATACTAGAAAACCAAATTTAAAAAAAACATCAAAAAGATCATCTTTCATGATCAAGCAGGATTTATTCCAGGGATGCAATGATGGTACAAAATTCAAAAATCCACCAACACCATCCACCACTTCAACAAAAACGACAAAAACTACATGATCATCTCCATAGATGCTGAAAAACCATTCGACAAAATTCAACATCCATTTATGATAAAAACTCTCAAAAAATGGGTATAGAGGACCCATACCTCAACATAATAAAGCCATATACAACAAACCCACATCCAACATCATACTTAACAGCGAGAAGCTGAAAGCTTTTCCTTTAAGATAGGGAACAAGACAAGGATGCCCACTCTCCCCACTTTTATTCAACATGGTTCTGGAGGTCCTGGCCATGGCAATCAGACAACACAAAGAAATAAAAGGCATCCAGACTGGTAAAAGAAGAAGCTAAACTGTCTCTGTTTGCAGATGACATGATATCGTACATAAAAAATCATAAAGAATCCACTTCAAAACTACTAGATCTAATATTTGAATTCAGCAAAGTTGCAGGATACAAAATTAATACACAGAAATCTGTTGCTTTCCTATACACTTATGATGAACTAACAGGAAAGAGAAATCAGGAAAACAATTCCATTCACAATTGCATCAAAAAGAATAAAATACCTAGGAATAAACCTAACCAAGGAAGTGAAAGACCTATACTCTGAAAACTACAAGACACTCATGAGAGAAATTAAAGAAGATACCAATAAATGGAAACACATCCCATGCTCATGGATAGGAAGAATTAATATTTTCAAAATGGCCGTCTTACCTAAAGCAATCTACAGATTAAATGCAATCCCTATGAAAATACAAACAGTATTCTTCAATGAACTAGAGAAAATCGTTCTAAAATTCATATGGAACCACAAAAGACCCCAAATAGCCAAAGCAACCCTGAGAGGGAACAATAAAGCTGGGGGCTTACCCATCCCGACTTCAAGCTCTACTACAAAGTC